CCCCCCAGAGATAAACCTGCAGGTTCGGGTTTTGCCGGTGGGGCACGGAGCCTCACCCACACCCCCTCCATCCCCGCTGGCCCGGGGTACCAATCCCGGCACTGCCATTGCCCAGGGGCTCCTGTGCGGAACAGAAACTAGAGAAGGCACCTTTGCTCCAGCGGGAGGAAGGGACAGGATGGGAAAAGCTCTGGGATACCCAGGCAGTGATCAGGGCACGCTCCAACCCTCTGTGTGAGGACAGGGCTGCTCAGCTGAGGTTAAATCCTGCCTCCACCAACCACCTCTGCCAGATACTTTAGATCCCAGGGCCTGAGCTGCCTGCACCAGTACCTCCCATCACTCAGCCCACCCCCATCACCGCAGCTGGATGCAGGAGAGGGCTCTGCCCACCACTGGCAGGAGAGAGCACTCCAGCACAGTGGGGATGGGATGCTTCGGAAGAAGGCGCTGAGCTCCCCAGAACCCACCGATCGGCAGTCGCACGCCACGGTAGGAAACGTCTCACAAGCTCAGAGCGTTTGGCTGCTGCTGCTCAAGCGTGACAGCACCCATATGCAGCGGGGAGAGCCCCACCGTGTCAGGTGCCGTGCCGACAACAGAAAGAGCCAGCAGCCGAGGCTGCGTCCAGCCTGCGCAACAACGCACGGGTCCTGGGGAAGGATGGGGGTCCCCCTCTGCGCTATCCTGCCGGAGAAATCCAGTTTTCTTGAGTGTCCCTCCCAGCATTTCCATCCCTCTACTCCGAGCCCACCTCCCTCCGAGACAGAACACGCTGGGTGTACTTTGCTGCTTGGGCAAAACTGTTTAAACAAGCCACGTCGGATTTGCTCCTGTCCTGGCGCTCCCAACCACGGCCATGGGCCCCTATTTCCCTTCCAGAAGCACAGCAGGGTGGCCGCGGTCTCTCCATGCACTCAGACAGCAGCTCGCCCTTGCACCGGCTCTCTTCACCTCCCAGCCCGCTCCCAGGGAGCATGACATCCGACCCCGGCACGGCTCCAGGGCACTGCAGGAGCCCCAACTGCACCAGCACAGCATCCCACCCCAGCAGCCAGACCCAGGGGGGGCTCAGGGCTGCTGGTCCCCAACCCACACCCCCTGGCTCCCATCTACTCGCGTCTACACGGCCCTCCTGCCGCACACCAGTTGCTGCAAACAGTCCCGAACGCATCAGAGAACTTTATCCCCGATTTAGTTTCTTTAACAGCCCTTTGTAGCAGATTTCACATCAAAGGCTGTTTCGGATGCCCCACCGCGCAAGATCTCTGGCAGCAGGCACGACCTCCCGCAAAGAGCGGGGACACGGGACCGAAGGAGGGGGAAAGGGTCCAATTCTCCTGTCTCCCCCCATGCACCTCCACCACCTCTGCAACCCCAGCACGGGCAACAAGCGTCTCTGAATTGGAGGCCTGGAAGATGCTCGGCGCCCCCCCAACCTCCTTCTCCAGCACGGCCCTCCCACACCGGGGCCGTCTGTCTGTCCGACCCTCACCCCTGGGGTGCAATGGCTGCTCGTGGTGGGGCCAAGCCCCACAGAACAGGGACTTGGACCCCCGCAGAAGCAGCAGCAGATGCCAGATGGGCAACCAAGCCGGCCCCCAACACTCCCTCAACCCATGGGTCACTGGGTTTGTTTCCCAAAATGTTTTTTAACCAAGTCACTGCACATTCATAACACAGCGGAGCAAGAGCTGAATCGCCGCAAACCCATCACGGTGCACCACGGGCTGGATCTCCCCGGTACCGGCAGGTTTCTGCACAGGGAAGCAAAGGGCAGGAGCTGACGTGGGGGTCTGGAAGGAGCCTTGAAGCACGGCACCTCCTGCACCGCGCTCTGCCGCCATCCCCGATCCCGCTCCGGGCTCGGCAAGCACCGTAACAGGGCCGGGAAATCAAAGGTTTCTAAGGTTTCCTGAGAGCCAAGCCCTGCTCTGGCCTCTCGCAGGGACAGCATTCAGCAACAAAAATGGCATCAGGGCCCGAAGGTGTTTGATTTCTGCTGCCTGCTGAGGCAGGGGAAGGGGGGGGGGCAGAAGCTGCCTGCAGAGGGAACTGGGGGAATAAAGGCCAAAAGGAGACAATAATAACAAAAAACAAAAAAAAAAAAGGGAGGGGGGTGCTATAGAAAGGGGGAAAAGCCTCAGGAAGACTAAGTAGAAGCGTAAAGCAAAGATGTAATTAACGTTAAATACAGTATCAGAGTTCTACAAGATACGTAGTCCTCCAGTACTTTCTGTGTCTGTGTTCAACAGCCAGGAA